ATAGTAAAGTTTAAAGTTTAAACTTCATAAACTTTCCAGTTTTATATAACTTCATAATTGCATTAAAGGCCGACATTAAGTATTATTAATTTCTACTTAAACTTTCCTATAAGACACTATATCTAAACATATGATGTTGTTCAAAGCAAAAAACTTTATCGATATATAAGGTACGTATTCACCAACTACAAGATAAGAAGGAACGGAAAAATTCTCGAGATGTTCACGATAGTTTAAGTTTGATTTTCACGAAAGTTTATTAGGAAAATTAAGAAAGTTTCTGGTGATTTTAGTGTAAGAGATGTCTTTTTAATCTGTAACCGTTGGAAGTGAGTTTACATGGGAGAACAGGACAACTGAGAAATATTTCTACACATAAATCATCAGAAATCCCGACGGGACTATTTAAATTTGACAACGCGGCACACTAGGATATTTGAATGTTCTATAGACAATGAAAGAAAAGGAATACCTCTGTAAACAAGATCATCTCTGAAAACATTATAATGCCCAATATAGGGGAATAATTAGGAGCATTAGAGAGGGGGTGAAGTAATTAATAAGTTATTCAAAGTTGGAGAAGCAGGAAATAAGACTCTTTTGCACAATGAGCTAGTCTTATTAAATTTACTTTTCATTTACTTTAGTCTATAAACACTATTTTTCAACTTCAACAACCAAAGTAACTACTAGATCTCTCGTTACTGAAGTGTACTCAATTTGCAAGCAGAGAGACCTCCCACCTACCCTCTCACCAACTCACCCAATCAAGGTAAAAGATAGACTTATACTATTTTACCCCCCAAATTACACTAGTCGTAATCGCAAGCTTTTTTTTGTTGGAGAACTAAGGAGAAGATATCAACACAACACAACGAGGGAAATATTAATCAATGTAGAAAACACCCGTTTTGAAACCCGTTATAACTCGTTTCAACACCTACTAGAGCCAAATGTTATTAAACTCAAACAGAAAACCATGTTGCATTTAATGCAAAAACAACTCTGATAAATGCATCTTATCAGTGTTATGTTAAGCTTTATTTAATGTTTGTTAAATTGAGTTAAATTGGTGATCAGATTTGGACATATAACAATATCTCCATCGTCCAAATCAGCATCATGCTAACCTAAATAAGTTTCCAATCAAATCTCTGACCTATTTTCATTCGCATGAAAACCCTAGTGATCCACCGCCCGCATCTCCAGCGCCTCTCCTATCTCACCCCCCTCCTCTACCACCTCTTATCATGCCTTTGACGAAGAAGAAAACCTCTTGATTCTTTTCTACCTCTCACACCTTCGATGAAGACAAAGCCTCTCACCAACGACAATGCTCCTCTTGACCTCTATCTCTGTCAATGATAAGGATGCTTTCTGGTTCCTCTTTGGCTCTCCCATCTCCTCTCGCCAATGAAAATGACCCTAACCCCATCACCACCTCTGATGCTTCTCTAGCTTCTAAACCCTAACCCCTATCGACGAAGATGAAGTATTCTAAACTCTTAACTCCTTTAACTCTTTCGGCCCTCCCCCATGTTTGAAAATTTTAATGAGTCTAATTATTAAAGTTATTATGAATAGTTTGTCTTTATGAAATGTCTAACTAGTTAATAAATAAAATAACCTATGTTATGTCGTATGTGCTACGCTATATTTCTTTACAAATTTTCCAATTAATCTTTAATAGCAGGCAATATTACATTATGCATTATTATTATTTTCATACCAACATACAACTACAAGACAATCACATAAGCAATTGGACTGTGTAATATAGTACATTTAATAATTAGATAGCCAGTTTCTTCAAGATTAAATAGGAAACATTTCTAAAAAACCTAAAAACGGACATGATCTTGTATGATTTCACCTGATAATTCAAAATATGACTATGATTTTATGAAAAGATGTAGATATCAAGAAATTTTCATTGTGTAATAACAATACACAAGGAATTAATTAGTATTTTGCAAATTCCCTATCCTTTTAGGTATCAACAATTTTCGAGCTTCAAGTGTTTCTCTACACCATAATTACATAGCTCAAAATTGTAAGCTTTTGTAATTGGAGAATTAAGTAGAGGATATCAACACACATAAAAAATTGAAAACAAATCAATAGAAAAGACTGATTGCAATTTGTGTTGGGTGTTGACTCAAACTCTAGGTTGGATCTGAATTTGAAGACTACACCCAATCCTAGCAATTTTCTTGGAGGCAAAGTTGACTTGGTAGGCAAGTCAATGGTGCCTATAAATAATACATCCTATTCTAGAAATTTTTTAGCAAGGAGAAAAAAATTCTTGTAAATCAGCGAATTAACAGAGCGGGTGTCACCGGGCTGTTCAGCAGTGCGCTGTGAAAGGGAAGCAGAGAGCCTTTGTAGTATTTATTCATACAAAAAACTATAATTTGATGGTGATAGTGGATTGGTTTCAATTCTATAGTAGTTTTCGAGATTCTTGAAAGATTAAAAAGTCCCAACAAGTGGTACTAGAGCAGGGTTCAACAATTTTTTGAGATTCAAATGGTGCGATCAGCAAGAGGCATCAAATCCAAGGCTTGAGGTTGATCAGATCACGGGCGTAGATTCGACAGTGGTCAGTGAGTTGTAAGAGTGGCGTTGGAGTCGATAGAGTTGAAGATTGTTGTGAGAAATTAGAATCTGGTCCATCGCTGCAATCGTTAAGGAGAAGAAGAAGGTCGATGATTGCTCACGTGAGGAAAATAAACAAAAGAAAATTCATGTGAACAAAGTCATGTGTGAGGTTATTGTAGGGTCATGTTAATTGAGATACGTGGGGTGAGGAGGATTTGGATTTAATTTATTTTTAAATCTAGATCAACAGTTCAGTTTTGTGTACCAGTAGATCAATGATTTGAGGTAAATTTTGATAATCCAGGAGCCATTTCTAGGGTTTTCAGCATTCAAAGTTCATTTTTGACGTTGATTCTGCCAAATTCAACTTCGACAGTGATTGATTTCAATTTGGCTGTGGTTGGAGAATGATAACATCTTCGAGTCCGAAGTTCGATATTCCGCTATTCAATGACATGATAAATTTTCCATTATAGCAATGTACAATTCAAGATCTTCTGGTGCAATAAGATGTTAATCAAGCTTTGAAGGAGAAGAAGCCTAAAAGGATGCAAGATAGTGAATGGGGTTCCATGCAAAAAAATGCGGTCAACACAATTTGTTTGGCGCTTGCTTCCGAGATCAAGTAGAATGTTATGCAAGAGACCACACCAAGGGGGTTGTGGGACAAGCTTGTAGGATTTATGCGTCGAGATTGATGACCAACTGATTACGTTTAAGGATGGACATTTATTCATTGAGACGGAAGAAAATGCTACTATTTAAGACCACATCAATGCCTTTTATCAGTTAGTTTGCTTACTTATACATATCAATGAGGAGATTAAAGAAGAAGAGCATGTGTTACTCCTATTGTCTTCCCTATTGAAATTGTACAAGCCATTGGTTCAGACTATAATTACGGGAAAATAGACGTTAAAGTTTGATGAAATAACACCACTCCAACGAGAGAACAAGAGAATGATGGTAAAAGAGAGCGCATCTAATGGTGATAAGAGTGTACTAGTTTTTGAAGGTTTTCATCGAGAGAGGAGTAAGGGGAGACGTGACAGTTATCGATGGAGATCAAAATCTCAAGCCTAAGACAACAGCGAAAGGGTGTGCTACTATTGCAAAGAGAAAGGTCATATTTAGTTCAAATATTTCCAAATTCGAGATGATTTGAAGAGCATTAGACAGTTGAATCTTTAAGAAAATGGGGACCAATCAGCTATTGTGTGTGATGAAGAAGTAGGGTTGATAACAAAGAGTACTGGCAATAATGCGAATAACACTTAGGTGTTAGATTCTACAATCTCTGTTCACGTTTGCAATGTAGAATCTATGTTTCATGTTTGCAACAATAAAGAGTATTTTGACATAGTGAAGACAAATGAAGAATTTGGTGACGTGATCGTTAAAAACAATGAGAAGATGAAGGTTGAAGGCGCTGAGGGTGTTCGCCTTAAGTTCACACTAGAAAGATCGAAATTCTTCATCATGTAAGATATGTGCCGTCATGTCGTGCTATTTTAATTTTGTTTGGTGAAAAGGCATCGCATGGGTACAAGTATGTAGATGAAGGAGAGTGGTGCAAAGTGTAAAGATGGTAACTTGATTTTGCGAGAGAGGAAGAATAGCAATCATATTTGCTATTTGCATGGGTGTTCTGTTAATGGTATAAGTGACTCTTCTCAGACTCTTGTCTACAAGAAAGGTGAAGAACAAGAAGAAGAAAGTGAGTTTTTCTAAAGCCACTTGAGGTAATTTGAGATTTTTCGTTGAGAGAGGATATGTTGGTTGGCAACTCAAACTCCAAGTTGGATCCCGATTTGAAGACTAGGCGGAGTCCTAATAGTTTTTTTTTGGAGGATAAGTTGACTTGGTTGGCAAGTCAAGGGTGTCTATAAATAAGACATACTATTCTAGGGTTTTTTAGTATCTTGTAATCAAGAGGTTTAACAGAGGATGTAACCGAGTTCAAGGATATTGTGAGAGGATGTAATCTAGGGTTTCACAGTCACTGTCCATACAAAAAATTGTAATTTGGTGGTGATAAAGGACTGTTTTTTGTCACGTAGTTTTTCTCTATTGAGGGTTTTCCATGCTACATCTTGTGTATGAATGTATTTCATGAGTTTGGTGGTTTTCGAGGTTTTTGCAAGGTCTAAAAATGCCAACACTTTGATACCCTAGAGTTTCACCTTTTTGTTACTTTGGGACCCCAAAGTCTAAACTTTTGCACGAAAAACTCCCAAGTTAGAAGGAATATCCAAAACACGAATGGCAGAAATTTGCATTGAACGTAGCAAACCAACCTCTGTTTAAATATAACGAAATGCACAGCCAAAACAACCCTATCTACAATCGGTATTTCAATTAACCCAAGAGGGGAAAAAAGTTATAATTTTGATCCACACCTGTTGGATTTGACGAAGAAGGAACCAGCATCAGTATCATATCTGCTAGCATAATTGATGCATCCACCTCCAATTGGGCTGATTCTTGTAATTTTAGTAGCTTTTCCCTCGGTAAGAATCCATTCTCGAATTGGATCATCGCTCATAGCTGCCACTGCAATAAATCCAACAGAGAAAGAGTCAGTAAGTTTCTATATATATAAATTATATAATTTGTTAGAGAGAGAAAGAGAGAGAGGCCTACTAATTGAGAAATAATTATGAGGGGTTCTGTGTTTGAAGAGAGAAGGGCGAAGAGGGCAAAGAGAAGGGGATGAGAATGAGAAAGAGGAGCTGAGGAGGAGGAATCCACCGTGACTGTTGAGGACCATCTCTCATTGAAGTCTCACTGCCACAAGTCCTGATGAGTTTAAGACATGGTACAAATTTTCGAAAACACCCGTTTTTAATATTTAAATAGCAAAAACAAACTTTTGGAAAAAAAAAATTTAGCAAAACCGATCCTTTTCTTCATAAAAGGGTCGGTTTTGCTGTTATTTTGATTTAGCGAAGTGTACGGGACTACTAGTCCCGTACACTCCATTTCTGTTATCGTGAGGAAAATAAAAATGAAATGCACAGGAGTACTAGTCTCGTATATTTCGCTAAATCACAACAACTGCAAAACCGACTCTTTTCTTCAAAAAAGGATCGGTTTTGTTAAAAAAATTCAAATGGTTGTTTCTGATATTTAATTATTAAAAGTGGGTGCTTTTAAAATTTTGTCCTAAAACATGTCATCCTCCTCAAAGATGGATGGGCTCATGGAAGGAAAGGGTACCTTGCAGATAACCCCCTCATGTGAGTAGCACTTCACTTAGCACCCGTCGTCTATTTTATTAGCACTTATCACTCTTGAATTTGCATTTTGAGAAAAATAAATTTAAAATAACCCTCTCTATTTTTTGAATTGAGAGATAGTAAAATCAGATAAAATAGTTGAAGGGTGCTAAGTGCTACAAACATATAAATTATGCAGATTATCTGTAAGTTATCTAACAAAAAGTAAAATGTGTATAAGCACTTTGTGGTATCACTGTTTTGAACTTACTACCCTCCTAATTCAAGTTTTGTAAGCCTGAGTGACATTTTTTTAAGTCAATGACTTTATTTGTGAGGAAACATTTTCTCTTTCTTTAGCTATAGTGTCACTATTTTATATTCCGTTAAAATCAGTCTCTGAAGTGATTGAGATTGCTGTTAGGTTCCTTGTTGTCACGAGTTGTTTCAAAATTAATCTCTAAAATCATTAAAGTTCTTATTAGGTCCTCAAATTCTTATGAATAGTTTTGAAGTAATCCCTCCCATCAAAATGGCAGTAGTACAGTATATGCCTTGGGGGACCAAATAGCAAATTCAATAATTTGACGGAATAAATTTCAAAAAATATTAAAGATTTAAAGGTCTGTTATTAGAAATGTACCTACACAAAGCGAATGGAGGGCCTAGTTTAAGGGGTATCATATGGATTCTCTTGTACACAATGATGCAGTTCAATTTAAGTCAAGTATGGTTAAGGGTGGGGGTGTCCAAAAAACCCGCGCCTCGGGCCCCGGGCCAGAACCTGGCCCGGGGCCAGGGAGTCGGCCTGGAAAACTCGGACCAAAACCGGGCCCGGGCCCCGGGTCGGCGCAAAGTCGCCCAGCCCGGAATAGTGCCGGGTCGACGCCGCGGCCGGCCGGGTGGCCCGAGTCCAGGCCCGCGCCTAGGCAACAACGGTCACCTTGGGGGTGACTGTTGGCCGGGCCTGTAGGCATATAAAATTGCTATATTAGGTGCCTTAGGCACAGCTCGACACGAACCGACGAACCAACGAGGGCGACGAACCGCACGCAAGCAACGGGATACATCCATTCGAGCGTGGAATCAAGCCAACAGTTCGGGGAGTCAACGCAGTCAATTCAACCATAGAATGGATTCGAACTCAACGCCAAGGCGGATTTACTGCCCAAATCAGGATCCGGACACCAAATCAGAGTCCAGATCAACAGTAAAGCTCGGATAAACCGATAAACTGTGAAACCGGATGACGGACAACGCCGGGCAACACCCGAAAAGAGGCTCGGAAACCAAGTCATCGCACGGCGGCCTCACCGCAGCCACCAAGGTGGGCTCGGTGCCGCCGAGCACCAAGTGGGTGGCTCGGCCGAGCCACCTCCGAGCCACCAAATGGTGTGCTAGGCCGAGCCACCTCTAGGTGGCTCGACCACCTCCGTGCCACCAATGTGTTGGCTCGGAGGCCGAGCCACCTCCGTGGTGGCTCGGCGCCGCCACCAAGGTGGCTCGGCCACCACGCAGCCACCAAGAGGTGGCTTCGGTGGCCGAGCCACCAAGGTGGCCGACCGGAGCCACCTCTTGGTGGCTCCGGTTGCCGGCCACCTTCTCCTTCCGACACGCGGATCTGGCCCAATCTGAGCCAGATCCGCTTTCATTTAGCCTATAAATAGGCCCCCTTTTGTTCATTTTCAAAGGTTGGACTTTTGAGAGCCGAAACTCTGCCGGATTGAAGATCGAGCTTAGAGTTTTGAAGACTTGAAGACTTGGACATCCAGATCTGATCCTCGGCGAGCATCCACGTCACAAAAGGCAGGAGTTCGAGAGAGGGGAAGAACAGATCTGAGATCTACACGAGATCACACTCCGGATCTAAGCTTGGTCTTAGATCCCGAGATCCGAGCGATTATTTCCTTAGTGAACTAATCCCTCCCGGCTATTATTCCCTTCGTGGAATAATACCCGTCAAATCGTGTAGATCCGACCGGATCTAGATCGCGCGGTGGTCCACGGATTAACCCCGGTGTTGGCAAAGAACCCACATAAAGCGAGTGACCGCAAAACAGGAGCTCGCGATTTGTTCACAAGGAGAAAGTTGTAATTTTTCTTTATTTTCTTTTTTTTTGATTTCGTTGTAACCGGATCTAAAAAAGACCGGATCTTTTGTAACCCAAGATGACAATTATCTCAATGAAAAAGACAACAGTTTTCCCTGCGAACAATCTGGCGACCACAGTGGGAGCCGCCGATCTCTCTGCCGAGATCGTCACGTCGCAGCCGCGGATCTCAATCCCGGTCGTGGAGGAGGTCGAGTATGAGTTCGACCAAGCCAAGTTCGAGGAGTACGTGTCCTCGTCCGGATCTACCTCCCCCCCGCAAGTCCAAGAAGTTCTCCTCCAGGAGGAAAGTTCGTTGGTTCGAAGAAGCTCGGAAAGCCAACGAAGCTCTCACCCTAGCTGACGCCAAAGTCGCGTCGGGTGAAGTCCTGCCGACCTCCAACCAGGTCAACCCAACTCCCGCCAACGCCTCCACTGTTGAAGGCGTTGTGACTCTCTCAAAGAGAGCCCGCCAGAGGCGTCGTCAACGCCTTGCGCGGCAACTCGCCAAGGCGATGGAGTCTACAGACGGATTCCGCTACAACGCGGATCTGAAGAACAGAAGAGGCAAACAGCCTCAACCACCAATGAACGGCGACTCCTCCAAGCCGCCAAAGAACGAATGGGTCCGCGTCAAACGGAACCGTTCGACGCTTGAGGAGCGTATCCGCAAGCGCCGCGCGATGTCAGCGCAAGCACAGGCTCAAGTCCAGGAAGCCCGTAGAAGACTGCAAAAGGAGGTGACGAAGAAGCCACCACCAACCCGCCAAGTCTGGAAGCCGAAGTCTGAAGTGGCGACTCAGGCCAAAAAGCAACCATCGCAGCCTTCTAAGCAAGGTCAAACTCCGGCGAATCAACCAAAGTCGCCGTTAATTCCTATGGCTACGCCGGGAGATCATGCAGAATCATCCCGAAGGAGAAAGCCAGTTTTGGAGCGCCTCGTTCCAGTTCCCGACGAGAGAGGCAAAGTTCCAGTTCACGAGCGTTTGGGCCCAATGAAGAAGCCCAGAACGACTCAACACATTGGGGGTCGTCGTCACCTCCAGTATGACAAAGAGCGCAAGGCAACTGCGCGCACTAATTTGCGCGTCGAAGTCCAAGAGCACACTGAAGACTCACGCCCACAAAGGCACGTTTCGAGGCGTGTAACTTTGAAAGCCCAAGCAAGCGCGCATCCAACCTTAAGATGGAAACATTATCATCCTGATAGTGGATAGTGTTATACCTAAGAAGTCGCCTGCCCGCACACGATTAGGTTACTTCCGACTGATCAAAATGGACGAGTTGTACTATCGTCGCTAGGGTACGAATAGAACCAGGCAAGCAGCGAGCTCCCGAAACAGCGAAACTCGATTGCCCCTGTTCCAAACTCATTCGGGCGGGCGTATTCCTTCAGATGCCCCAACTGCCCATCAGGCGGTCCCGAAAGAGGTTTCAGCTTTTTGACAAGACTCAGTGCGCGAGACGCAAAACCCAGCCTAGGCAGTTTTCAACGAAAGAAGAAGGGTGATTGAAGACGGAGGAAATTTCCGACAGGGTCACCACCAACAACATCATGACCAGCAGCAGCGGACGTCGGACCGGAGCGAGACAATCTCGAATCGATTCTGAAAGGCATCTACGCGCCTAGAAACGTCGATGCAGTCCGGAAACTAGCAAGCGAGCAACCTATCGGGGTAGCGGTATCGGCACAAGCACTCCCTTCAGAAGCATGCAAGAATCTAATGCTGGCTCCGCGGTTGCCACATCAGACGAATACAGCTATCCGGCGAGCGGCACAACCCCGCCGAGCATATTATGGCATAAGTCGCCCGCGAGCAAGCCTGCGCCCAAAATGCCTGAAGACGCCTTAGATAAGCAACAGGCAAACCTTCAGCCGTTCGAAATGCAGATGGCCAGGCAAAAACATCCTGAGAGAAATGCATTGACCAGCAAATCCAAGCATGACGAACACAGCAAGCGCCGCAGCCAACGTCGTCGCTAACCCGGCTTAATTTGCCGAAGACCGCAGGATACGAATTGAAGCTCCGTAATACCAATAATCCTCCCGTCAATGCCAGGGCCGGTGCGTAACGAGAATGGCTTAGCTGAAAACACAGCATGAAAAATCTGAAAATTAAAAATCTCGCCGGAGAGCAAAATCAATACATTTTGATTCTCTGCCTCAAAGATGAAGAAAACAGGCATTCCTTGCCCATACCCCACGAAGTGGGAATCAATCCCATATCCGCGCGAAGTTCAATCCTAATTAACTTCACGCCGTTTAAATGGCGATGGGCTTCCCCCACCTCAAACATTTGATTTATATTCCAAATCGCCCACCTGCGAAGTTATCTCCCCCCCGGCAATGCGAGCCTCCTGGATGCACGCGTGCGCGCTCCCTCATTCGTTGGCCACTCTTCGCGGAGACGCCTATCGATTGGTATACGCCGCCGCAAGCCAGGTAGCCACGGACGGGAAACTGAGCAGTAC